GGGCCGAGCCGAGCCTTTCCTCGGAGGAGCTGCCTGGCTCCAGGGCTTTTCCCGCTTGTGTTAAACTCTCCTAATTCCTCCTAATCCCCAATCTCAGCCTTGCCCATCTTTCTGCACCTCCGTGAGACGAGCTCATCCCAACCCTTGGCTCGCTCCCACCCAACCAGCCCCGACTCGACCGTGCAGCCTCATCCCATCCCTGGATGCTGTTGCTGCTGGGGCTGTGCCAAGCTCAGCCGTGCCTTTGGCCTGTCCCTGCCATCCCCCGGATCCAGCCGGGATTGCTCAGCAATCCCTGTCCCAGCCCCCCACACGGCCCCAAACTCTGCAATCCCTGTCCTGGCCCTCCGCACGGCCCCAAACTCCTTCCCGAATTCCCGGCTTCCCTGCCGGATCCCGGAGCAGCCACTCACCATGGTGAAGATCCCGGCCCCGAGCAGAGCGTAGACGGCGTGGAGCCATGGGACCTGCAGGACACGGACACATGGACACATGGGCACATGGACACATGGACACATGGACACATGGACACATGGACATGGACACATGGATATGGACACATGGACACACGGACACATGGACATGGACACATGGACACATGGACACATGGACATGAACATGTGGACATGGACACATGAACACAGACGCATGGACACATGGACACACGGACATGAACATGTGGACATGGACACATGGACACGGACATGAAGATTGGCATGGACACGGACACATGGATATGGACACAGACATTGACACATGGACATATGGACACATGGACACATGGACACATGGACACATGGATATGGACACATGGACATGGACACACAGACACACAGACACACAGACACGGACAGGGACACGGCCATCAGAGCTGGGCAGAATGGGTCACTCAGGACTTCACTGCCCGGGATTTGGCTCCCAGGTGCAGGGGAAAGGTTGGGAATGTGCTCTGACAGCCTGGCTGGGTTTGCAGCACTTCCTTTGGGAATGTTTCTATGGCACAGAGCAGCACAGGGGCCTCAGTCCCCCCTCACTGTTCCCTTTGTGCCCATTCGGCCCCAAAACTTCTCTGTCAGGTGTTTGTTACTCCAAACAGCACCTGGCCCTGGTGGCTGTCCTGTGGAAATCATGGGATGGTTTGGGGTCAAAGGGACCCTAAAGTCCTTCCAGTGYCACCCCTGCCAGGGCCAGGGCCAGCTCCACTGTCCAACCTGGCCTGGGACACTGCCAGGGATG